GAGGGACAGCTCTGTTTTTCTAGGTCATCATGTGTCCCTGAAATATACACCTCCCTACCCAGAGGGAGGGAGAGAAGGATGCAAGCAGACCCTGACACCTGAATACACAGGATTTGTATTTAATAAGAAAGTACACTCCTTAAAATAAAAATCAGCTTGCAGTTAAGTTTCCAAAAGGTATGCTAAATAGTGAGATATAATACTAGTCTCCATCACACATATTTTTTGCTTGAACATAGAGAAGGTCAACCTTTGGCTTTTAGATGACTTTTTTCTGATTACACTTAATAGCCTCTGCAACAGCAGGAAATACTTGCCTTTCAAATTGCAGCAATTCAGTTCTTCTGGTAAAGTATCTGCATTCCATTCAGAGTATCTGTCTATGGAAGAGGATTAGGGCCACTGAAAAAAAAAAAGTTAACTGATTTTTTTTTTTCAGTTTAATATGGAAAAAAGTCAGAATTCTGACTTTAATCTCAGAATTCTGACAGCTTACAAATATGTTAGCATCAAGCCATAGCCATGTCTGTTTTAGAGACTAGCTCTCTTGTTTTAATGAACCTTTGCTTCTCCATTAATGGGGGGACCCATTAAGCACGTAAAAAGTTGCCTAATTCTGTAATTTTCCACCACTGTGTTACTGGCCTTCTCAAACAACTTACATCTTTGTCAGTGAAGCTAGATGCTCCAACATCCCTTCCTTCATGGTGCCCATCTACATTAAGATCCAAAATTCTGAGAAAAAAGTCAGAATTCTGAGATTAAAGTCAGAATTCTGTGAAAATTTTTATTTTTTTTCCAGTGGCCCTATTCCTCTTCCGTATCTGTCAGTATGGAACTAAAGTAAGATAGGAAAAAACAATCACACATTCAAAACAATGTAATATTACTATGTCTTATTGATATTATCCATTTATAAAATTCTAACTATATTTTTTCATTCACTGGAAGAATTTCTTTATTTTTGTATTCAAAAGAAATGTTTTGAGCTTTTAACAAGTTTTATATATTTTTATATGTTCTTGTGAAAAGCAGATGTCTTTCATTCTCAATCATAGCTTCTCTAATATGATTTTAGATGCTTGATATCATCGACCCAGTGCTGACTTATTGTCACACGATCTGCATTTTTCCTTCCATCTGCTTGCTTCTGTAGAAGAGTTCAACTTTCTTGTACACATTTGTTGTCTCTTTTACAGCAACCAAACAAGCCAGTGAAATGAAGTTGGTGCTCTGTGTGTGTTGTATTTTTTTCAGCTATTGGCACAGAGTTAAAGGTTTTAATCGTGGCCCACCGTGACTCAGATGGAGGTGAATGTCAGGAGGGAGATTTTCAGGATTTCCTGATTTCCCTGAGCTTCTCCTGTCTCACTTTCTAAAGAGATCTTGAAAATGTGGTGGATGATTTCCATCAGAGCGAGGAGTGATGACCATTAAGTCTGCATAGGACTGGCCTGCATAAAGGGAATGCAGAGAAGGAGGTGGGATGGAGAAAAGCATGAATTCAGAGAATAAGAAGTTTCATTATGATAGGTGTACGAAATTAAACACTAATTAGTTAGCATGCGAATATAATGAGGAACCATCACTTTTCAAAAATGGAAGAAATAAAATTTTTGTGAAGATGCTTCTTTCCAAATGTTCCCTCTTTGTTATGCTCATGATCAGGACCAAAGAAAAACTGCTTTTAATGTCTAAGCCAAAAAAAAATGACAAATTGCATAAGTGTTTTGACCTTCCCATCTTCTTTCCACCACAAGTGCAACTTCAACTTTTCAGTATCAAATAACATGTTTGTAGAGAACTCAGACCATTGACCTACAGTTTTGATTGGTCTGCAAAGCTCGGTCTCTGGTCTAAACCAAACTGGACCAATCACAGCATTGCAGGGGATTCATAACAGAGCTTTCTCTAACAACAGTCCAGATGAAAGCTACAACTGAGCAATGTCCCAAAAATGACTCCATGTGTCTAAGGTGTGTATCTGACATGCAGAGAGAATTCAGTCATTTGGTTAAGGTGTGTTAGAGGAACTGCTTTTAAAATTTGGAGTCTGGGAGCTCTAGAGATCTGGACTTGGCCCCCCCTGTTCTACCAAAATAGTGCAGCCCCTGTTCTACCAAAATAGTGCAGCATGCTATTGTGTGATGACAGCTCCACCTACTGGTGGGAAGTTTGCATGCAAGCCACAGGCTCCTGAAAGCGGATAGTGATACAGGGACTCATTTTCTAAAAGAAAGCTTCCCCCAAAGATGTAATTCCCTTGATCAATATTCCCAGACACCCCTGATCTCCTATATACATTGAAGAAATGTATTTTAAAAAGTGACAATAAGAATCAGTTAATTCTTTATTCAAGGAAACCTAAGGCACACTAATGTCTAAGAGTTTAGGAGTAAACACATATTTAAGCTTTATATAATAAGAACAAAAAAAATTCGAGATAAAATGATGAAGGCTTTATTGGCTGTTAATGTGTTGTGAAAATGAAACAAAATGTTGGATTTATTTATGTTCATATTCATATATATATATATATATATTTCAATACTAAATACCATGTATATATTTTCATTTAACGGTGAAAACTAATATTAATAGAGCCACTATATGACAAAATATAAGCTACAGTGTTGGAAATATTTTCGTTCCCCTTGAGATTTTTTAAATTAATTCAAGCATAAAAATCATATTCCATGTTAATAACATTTTAGACGTCATAGCTTGAAAATACAGTTGAAAAAAGATTGACACACAAAATCAGACTAAACTTTATGAGCAGTTTTGGATCATTTCTTCCATATGAACTGTTGTGAGAAAGGCGGGATACTAAATTGAGTCCTCTGAGCTTTTTCAGCTCTGCCCACAAACTCTCTGCAGGACTTGGGCTTTGTGAGGTCCATCAGATTTTAACTTCAGCTTCAACTTCCAACATTTTAATGTAATGTTCTCTCTGAATTAAGTTGTCTAACATAAGGTGGACCAGTTCCTCCAGGAACAAATTATCTCCCTGCTTCACAGTTGGGATAAAGTTCTTAGATTGTCAAGTTTCTTTCCTTTTCACCCAAACGTCAGTCATTCCGGGTAGACATTTTAATAAGTTTTATTAGACAATGTAATGGTGAATTAGTGGTTTTAATTAAGCAGTCTTAGTGGTGGTTCACATCCTAAGGTGTAAAGGTTGGACTCTCTGACTGTCATGCAGGCAGTATAGATTTAAACCCTGCACAGGGCAGCAGGAAAGACATATAGCAAAATGTTTGCAGCAAGAAGAACAAAAAGGCATTTTGCAAATGTCTCCAAATTCATTTTCAAGCAGCATTTCTGGCTATTTATGTTGCAGATGGATTAAAGACCTCGTCCTCTAAGAAGCCCAAACCAGAACAGAACCTTTAAACAGGATATTGACACAACTTCATAAAGTGTCTAGTTTTTTATGTTTCCCACCAGAGCCCAGAAATATGGTTACGCACAGAGTCCAAATTACCTAGATTATCAGTCATTGACACTCACTAAAATTAACACAATACTTTGGGAAATTAACATTTTTCCTTTATTCTAACACACGGACTGAGATTTTTCAGCTGCACCACCCAGCCCATCTGTTGATTCAAGTCTTTCTAGGTGTTAGATTCTGAAGTTACACACTTATATTAACACAAGACAGTGTTATTTGTACGGCCTAGGTTACAGCAGATATGTCTTATTTACCTTTCTCCTCTTCTCTCAATGAAAGGCGTAATCTAAATAAAAAAAAATTTTTACAATAGAAAAAACTAACATTATAAATTGATGGAGAGGAATTATGAGATGGTAATATTTCAAGTTCTGCCTTTTTCATCTGGGTTTTTATATATACACAGAAGAAAATATTAGGTTTGGATACATTTCATAGAAATTTAAGTTTTAAACCAATTCTCATGAGGTTGGAGAAACCTTCAGGATTAAGACTAAATCTGGTGCAGATGCTTTTTTCCCAGCCACAAATATATGTGTATATTTATCAAAGTAGCAAGGGCAAAGAATGGGGGCATAAAGGGTAGGGAGAGCAATGATCTACTGAGTGGAGCTTCTCACACGTTATGATTGTCAGATATTCTCATAATTTTTAAATTAGTTTTCTTAGTTTACCTGTTCCATTGTTTCCCTCTCTGCAAACTGCCAGCCTCCATGAAAGAAAATGTTTCCTTATTCTGTATATACAGGCCTAAATTAAAATTCTCTTGTAGCAACTCTTCATAGGATCAGAGCCAATAGGCAATAAAACAATGAGTGTCACTTCCACACAAACTTCTCTGATTTGGACATAGCATCATGTATGTGCTGCATTTACTGTAACTGGCAACAAAAAAAAAAGTATCCTTCCTGCATTAATGTCCAAATATTTGATTTTTTTGTTTTACGGAAGGTCGTTTGATACAAATTTCACATAATTTGTCCTAATTCCCAAACGCAAGCTTTAATTTGTCCTATCTTTTAATTACATTTAAATAGATGTTAAAATATCTATTTCTCTGATTGGTTTTCTACATACAGCATAAATAACGCTTTTGAGTCCAAACCCCATGACTGATTCAACTCAGGAATTATTTCCAGTCTGTTTAAATAGAATTACAAAATAAGTTTGAATATTTAGGTGTAAACTTTCATTTGAAAAGTCATTAAAAAAAATTTTAACGATTCTTTTGTTTTTTTAGAGAACCTGTAAATAGTCAATTTGATACTGGATATTTTATTTGTAAAGAACAGCAGGATAACCAGCACTCAGATTGCTTTGTAAGTATTACAGAAAACATTTTTGACCTCTTGAAGGATTTTATGACCAACTATAACAGTCAAAATATCTTAGTCTTTTCTTGGCAAGTTTCATCTCAGGACAGACTTTGCAATTCTAGGTGTTTATATACATGACCTATGCAAACTGCTTTCTATTTAAATTGGACCAAGCTGATACAGCACAAACAGGGGCAACAGGTACAATGACACAAATGTAAACCAGACAGTTTTTAACAGGTTTTTATTGTATATTTTTGAGTCCTTAGAAAACCTGAAAGAGAAAAAGAAAAATCTGTTAAAAAAAAAAATACTCAAGGTGATAAAGGCAGTTATTACCAAGATGTGGTTTCAGACATGGTTGGCTTATTAACAACTTATTTTCACCATAGTCGATAAGACGGGGAAAAAAGATTATGCATCATTTACCACCGTAGGGGAATTGTAAGAATTGTATGGCATTACTAAAACATACCATAAATTTAGTTCATCCTTCGGATCAGCCGGTTGATCTGGTCCTCCCTGTTGCCAGCGTCGCCTCCCTCCACAAAGTGTGTGGTCTTCTTGTTCATACCACCACGAGGTGAGGACAGCTTAAACGGCCACAGGAAGTTGTTGGCAGACTTGAAGTTCTTGCCGACTGTGTAGATCTCATGAATAAGGTCCTCAATACAGATGATACCGTATTTGCCTGAAGAATAAAACCAACATTTTACTGCTGCCAATATATTTCAGATTACACCTATAAGTACAACTAACTGCCTTTTTCAATTGCAGGTACTGGGGAGATGCAGCAGATAATTTTGAAACCCTTGTTTTTTTTTTTTCTTTGACAATCCCAAATTTACACAAAAAGATTTGGGACAGACCAATATCTTCATTATGTTTAAATGAGTGTGACTGTCTCAATACAAAAGGGGTCGTTAAGATTTCATAAGCAACACAAAACCTATAGCTGGCATGTGGTTTCAGATACAACTGGCTAAATTTGCTGTTTTCTTCTCACCACAGTCGATAAGACGGGGAAAAAAGTGTACATCATTAACCACATTAAGTGCCAGGACCCAACAAGAAAATCTAAGATATTGTAGGGAAATATCTGATACGCAATATTCATTAGCAACAAAAATTAGTAAAGTGTTTATTTGAAGTTGCGTGTGTGGCAAAGAGGCTCATACCAAGGGCTTTATCTATCAGAGCGTTGTCTGTGAGGGCAATGCGCATCTTCTTGACCTTGCCATGGCCACGTTTGTAGATCAGTTCACGCACAGACTTCAGGTTGGGATATCTGAGTGTAATCAGAAAAGTAAATTATTAATGTCAAAAAAACATTGGGAAATATTCATATATTAAACTAATGCGATATACAACTGAAGGTTAGATTAATTGTTAAGCTTTTTAAACCAATAAACCCAACTGTGTACTCCAAGGCATTGGACACAAACTCCTGCAATAATAAAAATGTTGTTTTCTGCTTATTAGTTCAGGTCACAAAACAACACTGCACAGGATATTATATATTACATCAAAACATTTATGAACAGCAGCTTTTTTTAAGCTCTCTTTAGTCAAATCTATTTTTTTTTTAGATATAATTTATAAATCATTCATTGTTTTAAAAGCCATCAGTGAAGTGGTAGAATGTGTAGGAAATCGCACCAATTTGTTTTAACAGTTCAAGTTAGTGGTCTACTTTTGAAGTATAGAGCATTAGCAAAGCCAGATTTCTTACTTTTGCAGAGGTAGATGCATTTGATTTCTAACATGTATGGGTCAAAGATCATTTAAATCTAGGCAATCCAGATGTGCACCTCTAGTTTTCCATGTTCCTGTGCTCATCATCATAAATAAGCCAAAAAAATGCTTTGAGTCATTTGTCAAATCTTAAATCTAAATAGATTCCAATCAGTAACTGCACTTATAATAGAAATACATGCCTCGTGATACACACAGCAGATTTGTGCCACAATTAAGAAAAGTTTTAGACTAAGCTTGATAATCTGAGATTTTAAGGGTTAAATTAAAGTTAAGGATTGGTTGATGTCAAATGTTTGCAAGAGCCGACTGCTCATTAGAGCAATAGCAGAATTTTTAACGAAATACTCATACCGGTAATTAAACCTTGTGAAAACACCTAATCTCAAGTTTGTATAAACAACACTACCCTACTCTTGGATACGTCTGATTTCAAGCCTCATACAAATGGAAATCCTGAATTTTGGTGGCTTGTATTCTTAAGTTAGATCTTTGCATTAACTATGAATTAAGAATAAACAGGTCTTAAAAACATAATGCACCACCGTGCCTGCTGAAGAATCAAGGATCATTCAAAGCAGCCTTTTGACATCCAAGGGAAAATCTTTCCATTCCTCATTTCCCAAAGCACATTTGCAGATTAACTGTTGGGAAATATTTGACTTCTGTGTCATGAAGTACTAACAGAAGCATATTTTTCTTAACTGTTTCTTACTGCTAAAACAAAACAGTCTGAACCAGTAAGGAGTTAAAACAAGATTGCTTGGAATGTGGTTTCAGACAAAACTGGCTTAGTTTCAGAGCATCACCACGGTCGATATGATGGGGAAAAAAGTTCAGCATCATTAACCACATTCCAAAATATATAACTAGATTTAAATAATCAAACACTCTTACCCCCAAGCAATGTAAGGTTCTGCAATCCTGAGCATGTTGATGGAGGCCTTGTTCAGCTTAACGAATACGCCGTTGAAGATCTGGCGGAGACGGAGCAGCTGAAGAACTTTGCGGACCTTGGGTGGGACACCATTGATACTGAGAAGGAAAAGTTGACAGTTAGCATAGAGAGCAACAACTACTTGTACATTACAAAACGCAGCATTAAAAGTGGTTTCAGAAAAGAGTTTGGCTTAAGCAACTATTCTTTCACCATTGTCGATAAGTCGGGGAAAGAAAGTTCATCATTAACCACTTTACTTGACTTAACATGCATTGCTATTTCAAAAAGGCACTCTAAAATACCTGTTGCTGCTGAAGGACCATGAAATAAAGTTTCTTTCAACACAAAGGATTGTTCTCAAAATAATTTCAGTGATAGAATAATTAAAAACAACTATGCCTTAAGCTCTTAAATACAGACATGTTATGGAGATTACTACATTAGTTTTATTTGCAGTAAGGTCAACAGCTCTTAAGTTGACGTTTGATCGTGTTTTTAAACCATTTGAGATTAACAAATCACCCTCAAGTGACCAATAGCCATAGCTATGATATCCCCTTTTTATGCTAGATAAACCAATGGATGGAGCAAATGACCAATTAAAAACAATTACATTGGAAAATAGATTAACAATGACTAGAAAGACTGATTGAGAGCAGCATGGTCAACATAATCAAATAACCAGCGGAAAGATGTATTTTTGTTGGGTTTATATTAAAGATAAAAAATGCACTGAAATGGTATGAATGAAATCCAAAATAGCTGAATTTGTTCAACACCAAAATATTCCCTCAGAACACCTTGGGAATATGGCCATTAAATGCAGGTGGTTCTATTCATATTCCTACAACATAAGGCAAGTTAAATTCAAGGCCAAGACTTTTTTCATCCCTTGAAATAAAACTTTGAGAAAAACTTGACAATAAAAAAAAGAAAACCTGGTTGCGACAAATTTAACCAGATGCTTATTTTATCTAAGCACTACTTTGTGGCCCAGTAGAAATGTTTACAATTTTGAAAAACTTTCCATATAGAAAGAGAGCTAAAAACACACCAATAACATATTTTTAACAACTAATGAATGGAATTCACAAGCTTTGTTTTGATCCCTACTCAAAGTGCATAATAGCTCTGCCATCATTGTAGGCGTACCGCCAAACACTATCTGGAGATTTGGTGCTTTTTTTGACCTCGGAGATGGCTGGTTTTTGACTCTTCTCATGTCTGACTCCATAGCTTTGATTCCCATCATGCAGAGTTTGAATGACTTCTTGCTCAAAATACACCATTCCTCATACACATTAACTGGTACTGTTCTTGGCCATGAAGAAACTTGGCTGGATATTTCCATTTCCCCATATTATTTGAGCATCACCCCATGGTATTTTTGCAACATAAGTTTTTTATTAGTTTTGCTGTCAGCATGGAACTAATGATGGTTCCAGCTAAGCCGTTCAGTAAATGTCAAAAAGTTTTCATTTTTGATATGAATTCCAAAAATAAAATTATTTATGACTTGGGGACAATTTCAAGACATATGAAAGTTTTAAGACATTTTAATACCGATTAAGGCCTTATTTTTATATTGAAGAATTCAATGCCCTTTAAGACTTTTCAGGATCTGCAGGAACCCTGTACAAGGCAGTTTTTTCAACAGATAAAATAATATCAGGCATGGCCTTATGACAAAGTTTAAAATTAATTTACATCTTCCATATTTAAGACTAAAAAATGGAAGGCCAAAGTGTCCTGCTATTACAGATACTTCCGTTTTTCAGCAGAGTCCAAACAATCAAAACAAACACCAGGAGAACATTTTATAAAGGCAGCAATCCATACAGATGTCCACACTGCTCTACATCAGCATCAGGAACAACTTACCCTCTGATTCTGATGACAAAGGCCAGCTTGGGCTCAGGAGGAACATAGTAGTTTCCCACTTTGCGAGCCGTACGAGCCATGCGGATCTCACGCCTGTACATCTGACGGTACTCCTTATGGTACCTTTCGGCCCTCTTGTAGATGAGTTTCCTGGTCTGCCTGCGGGCCTAGATAGAAGAGAGACATGCTGAAACAATTCACAAAGCTACCACCAGATAATACAGAGGTGTTCAAGTCCAGTCCTCAAAAGCTTCCATCCTTTAACTTTTAGATGCACATCCTTTCGCTAGCACACCAGAATCTAAAGCCTCAATCCCCTCATTTAGCTCAGCAGAGGCGTGGTAATGAGCCATTCATTTGATTCAGGTGTGTAAAAATGGTTACATCGAATAGTAGCAGGATAGTAGCTCTTGAGGACTGGACTTGAGCACCGCTGAGAAAATAGAAAATATGAAGTAGCATGATTCTTCAGAGCAAGTTACCTTTTTTTCAGTTAACAATTTCTTGATACGCATGGCCTTCATGGCGGCGTAGGCCTTTCGCCTTTTTAAAAGGCTCTCAGGGACCGCCGGAACCTTTTTTCTGTCAACACAAAAACACAAATAAATTAAATGAGTGTCGATAAAACACCCACGTTGCGCCTAACGTGGCAGCAGCCAAGTAGCGACACATTAGCATCCTTGCAGTGCTAACAAGCTAGCTCAGCTTCTTTACCGGCTTCTATGGAAATTACAATTCTCTACAAATAAACACTAAGAAGGACATTCTGTGAGTTACATCTTTAATTTTGACTGATCTCGCTGGGTTTAGTAAAAACATTTCTGAAGTTATTGTAGCCCAAAATGCAGCCATGTTCTGACTGTTCTGCCGACGACAACTGGCTAATCATAAAACAGCACAAAATACAAGACATCTTCTAGAACTATTTCAGTCATGTAATTGTACAAGACCTAAAAGGCTTGTATATGCCATAAAACACTAAGTAGAGAAAATAAGACGTCTGGATGGGCTTTGATTCTATGACGGAGAAAAACACTCACTCTGCGTCCGCCATTGCGATCACCGAGAAAGAGAACGTTCCATCTACGCATGTGCAAACTAAAGGCTTGGCGGGTTGTCCGCGCGGCTGCCTGACGAAAACAATAACATAAACGGTGTTTTTATTATATTTTAATTATTCTATGTCCGGGGTTCTCTCATTGTGCCTACTTATTTTTCACCAAGCTTGGATTCCCTTAGATTTTATTCTGAAAATGCCGATTATTGTACATTCATGTTGTTCTTGTTTTTGTTTTATGCAGGCATTTCCATGAAATCGATACTATTTTTTATGTACTAATTTTGATTTAAAATTTTGATATTTTTACAGTCTTTATTTTTTTTTTAAAGATGTGAACCTGTTTGCTTCCACTTGCCTTCTTGAACTTCGACTTGTACACACACTGGAATTTTCAAGGCTGTGGGAAAATAAAGGCTATTTTTATCTCTGTTATGAGCAGTGTGTCAGTAATGTGTTTTCAAGATAATTGTGATATGAAGATAATTCATATGCTAATCTTTATAAAATTCATGCTTAAAGTTCACGATTCCATGATATCCTACAAGCTATACTAATGTATCCCCATACCTTCTGCATTAGATTAACGCACGGTCTACTGTGTATATAGTATATAGCTATATAGCCTACTATATATTGCATATAGTATACTGTATGTTATATATTGTATACAGCTATACATATATATATTTATTTATTTATTTTATTTTTATTTTTTTGTCTGCACCATCAACACCAAGTCAAATTGTAAGAGCAAACCTACTTGGCAATAAACTTGATTCTGATAGCAAAGAAACTCATGGAAAATTTCAAACAGGAAAAATACAGCTAAGCAAGAACACTCAAAGGGCTTACCTAATGTTTATTTTAAAACAATAATGTATGGTACCCAAGACTGTTGGGATATTTTGGTGTATCTGCCCGGCAAAAGTTGAAGTAATTGGGAGTTCTGTGCAGGGGCAAAGCTACATGGGGGGCTAGGGCTGGCCATGGCCACCCCTACCATTTATTTCCATTTATACAGATGGTGGCAACAGTAATAATCTCAAGTTGAATATCCAGAACATTAACATTTTTCATATATTAACAATTACTTGACAACAAAAACACTGTGGTTAATTATGCAAATCAATATGCTAACATTAAAATGATAAGTACAAAATTCAAGCAAAAATAGATTTTGTGTTTTATGGGGTAAAGAGAAAATGAAATCATAGATACATAACTATTTCAATAAAAACTTAATCAATTTATGTAGATATTTGTAATTGTAAATATCAATTTTATGCAGAATGATTATTGATAAAAGTAGGAAAGTAAAGACAATGAAAAAGATGTTCACCCAAAACTCAAACCTGAAAGAACTTTATTATGCACTATACCTTTAATTTAGAAAACACAAATGTTTGAATATATGTGTCTATTTGTTAGCAAATGCTGTGGGAAAGTCTAGTTTGTCTTTATTTAGAAAATATGGATGTTTTGCTTGTTAATTTTCCTGTTGGAACAGTGTAGATTGACCGTGAGGTTCTGGTGCCTATCCGCTTTCGGCCACCCCTCAGTGTACATTGGTTATTGCCTGGCCACCCTTATAAATAATTTCTGGCTATGCCTCTGGTTCCTGTCTCTTATACACATCTTGTGTCTATTTGTTAGCAAATCCTGTGGGAAAGTCTAGTTTGTCTTTATTTAGAAAATATGGATGTTTTGCTTGTTAATTTTCCTGTTGGAGCAGTGTAGATTGACCCTGAGGTTCTGGTGCCTAATTTCAGCCACCCCTCAGAGTACATTGGTTATTGCCTGGCCACCCTTATAAATCATTTCTGGCTACGTCTCTGGTTCTGTGTCCTCCTGTGTCCAACTTCTAATTAAAAGTATTCAAGAAAATACGGATGTTTTGCTAATTGCAATTAGTGTAAACTGACCCTAAACTGCTTTTGGCGCCCATAAGTTTTCGACCACTCCTCGGTGCACATTGGTACCTGCCTGGCCGCCCCTTTGAAAATCTTCTCTCTTCGCCACTGCTTCTGAATGGGTTAAAATTATTTTAAAAGCTTCAAAGTGGTGTCAAAGTCTTAAGTTAAATCCAGTTGAGATGCTTCTTGCTTCCCAACTTTTAACATTACATTCATGCTTCAAATGCTTCCATTGTGGCTGAATTAAAGTTACCAAAAAAAAAAGAGAGAGAGAGAGAAATCCAAGCAGCTAGCAGGGAACTGTAAGAATGGTTCATTGCTGTTTTTCCATTAGATTATTCTGCTTAGAGAGAGAAGGATATAAACAATTCTACATTTTCTTTTCATTAGAATGTAAATAAACCTTTATATTTAATTTTATAAATCTTAAAAGACAATTAACATTGATTTAATTTACTGCAATGTATAAAGCTTTAATGCCAGATAAAGCTCAGTGACAGCTGTTGTTGTTTCCAAGGATTGCGCAAACAGGTTAAGGCCCAATCCCAATATACCAGCCTTCTTTATCAGCTTGCTGGGCTTCTTTAAGTCATTTGCTTTAATGCTGCTATCCCAACAGATTAAGACAGAAGAGATCACACTCTCCACCATAGAATTATAGAAGATATGCAGCACCTTGCTGCAAATGCTGGAGGAGCTAAGATTCCTTAGGAAATACAGTCTGCTCTGTCCCATCTTGTAGATGGCTTCAAAGTTATGTCTCAAATCGAGTTTGTTGTCCAGTTGAAAACCAAGGTACTCCTCCACCATCTTTACTTTTCTCCCATGATTTTTTTTTTTTACAGGATTCCTGTTTAAGATCATGTTCCTATTTCCAGGAATCAGAGGGTTCCTGTTTTGTTGGCGTTCAGGTTTAAACGATTGTCTCCACACCATAGCAAAAATGTTCTTGTTTATCTCTGATGCACCTAATGGCTGCAGAGTCATCTGAGTAATTTTGCAGATGGCAGGAATCCATCTTGTACCCCTGTGGTACTCCTTTGCTCTAAATAACAATAGGTTTAATGAAGCAGGTATATGATGGACAATTCATGATGTGGGATATCAGGGCAACAGGTCTATAGTCATTGTTGACTGCTTTTGTAGGCTTTGTATTTGACTTTCTTGGGCATTTTAGTACCTTGTTTGTATCTATTTATAAAAATGATCTTTGGAATGAAAAAAAAAAAAATTTCTAAAGTATAAGCTTATTCAATTCAAAATGTCAGGAATAGCGTTGAGTTCCTGGATGGGGGGAAAAAAAGCTTCCTAGATGGGAAGCGAAAGGTCTTCAAACTTGGAAAAAGAGTCCAGTGGATTGTTTTAATTTTCTTTTATGGAATCTCCTCTTCATCCTTTTACTTGATGTCTTGATTTGGTTATCTCTGAATAAAACATAATATTGGATATATTTTATAATATTAGATGTTATCAGAGGGTAATCATAAAAGGAAACTTGCAATTGCAACATGATTAGAGTTCTATAGTCATTTACTGGGGGAAAATGGGCTCAGTCATATAGATTTAATTATAAATTAGAAAAGATGCTGTCCAGAGGTTAAATTTAATAATTTCTCCTGTATGGGGATTTGATTTTATGTCTGGGAACATGTATATTTAAAATTCTCATACAGAAAACATTATGATATCTTCAGTAAAATAATTAATCCAAACATAATGAAAAAGTTTTATATTCCTAAACTCCATAAGATTTGAATTAGCTAAGCAGGTATTTAAGCCATCTGGTAGTTATGCATTCAAGTAAATCAAATAATCAAGTAATTCAAATGATCAAATCAAATGTTGCAACATTTACATCAAGGAGCTTAATCTTTATCAATAATTGCATTAATGAATCTGTATAATGATAACTGCCAACGTGGATAAATATAGGCCTTGCACTTTGAATGAAAGTAAAACTTTATATAATGAGTGGTTTAGTCTAGTTTATTCTAGTCAGTAGGGGAGACTGCAGATTGCTGCAACACATTTTTCTTTTTGATTGATACACCAACCATTTATTTATACATTAAAGTTACATCTGTCTGCTAAAACCCATTTAAATACGATTACAGGTTGTTCCCCACAATACTCATAAAAAAATTAATCTGTTGCAAAAGACCCTTTCCCACTCAGAGACAGTTGGTACATTCTAGAACTTCACACAAATTCACAATATATATATATATATTTTTTTTTATCTGAATATTATTCGGATTATTTGTATTTTTAATAAAAAAATAAAAGTAATTTAAAGCCAAACTGCAATTTGCATCTATAGACATCCCAAAAGGAAACAATGAAATTTTGAAACTTTTTCGAATACTTTTATTAATGACCCCAAATTAACAAGGCAAAACAGCCTATAGCATTCATTCATAGCCAGTTTTTGGGGGGGGGAGTAAAAAAAAAACAACAAAGTTTTTAAGAGCAGAGAAACCTTAAACATTTCTTTATTTTTCTTAAAAATAAATAAATAAATCCAAATGAAAAGATAACCCCTGCTTGTGTTGCATTTAATAACGCCCGGAAATTACAAATTTTCCTCCTTTTTAATATAATAGCGCGGTTATTATATTTAATTTAATGGGAATTTCTTTTTTCTATAAAAAAATTAAAAAAAAAAAGATCCAGGACTGGATAAGAATCCATCGGGACTAGAACTAAGCCAGGCGGCGCCACTGATGCTCTTCCATTTTCATCTTTTTATTAAAGCAACTTCAAAAACTGGCTGATTTAACATTGTAATCCTGTCATTGGGCCAGCAGAGGGCGCAAACACCTAACCGTATAGTGAAAGCTTTAAAACCATCTCCAGGGTTCCACCAAGACCACCTACCATGTGTCACTGTTTTGATGTGAACCAGAGTCAAAGCAATAAAACATTTTATAATACAACGAATTACAATTTTTTTCAAAAGTTTTGAAATTCCCTACCACTGGACTGAGAATCTATATGACAATGCACATTTAAAACCATTAGATAAGACTGTGGCTCAGCTGTTTAACCATATCTTATCCTAATTAAACCTAATTTATTCCTAGTGTGTGTTTTCCTGGCCATATAATACTATATTTTATTTCTCGTTTCTTCAAGAAAGATATATATATATATATATATTCATTTTTTTATTCAACTTTAAATTTGGACATTTTAACTGAAATAAAATTTAGTAATATTGTATGGCGATCATCTATTGCCTTATAATAAATTTTTTTTTTTTTATGTTTGGTTGCATTTTTACTAATTTGTAAATGAATGAATTTTCTTTTACTGTTGGCTTTAGGTTAGCCACGCCTCTTCCAATCATAAGCGACACCTGATTGGTTGGCGGACGTTGCACAACATCGTGATGTAAGCAAGAAAAAGAAAGGTGTCCCCATTATGCATTTGGAGGGCTAGTCCTTCAGATTATTCAACCAACCCCCAAAGTAAGATGCACGGTACATATCCAGTCCCATTATCTGGGCTGTGAAGTCTTTTTGTGTGTTTGAAGCTGTTTTACAAGTGAATCACCATTTTTATCATTTACTGTTCATCAACATAGTTAGCCAGTATGTCTTTGGTAAATACATATTTCAATAAAGTAACATTTATGCAATCATAAAATGTTTCTTTGTAAATGTAGATTTATTTGAAGTTATGTCAAAAACCTGCTCTTATGGCAAGTTGGATAATGAAATAGGTAGTAGCTTCCAAACTTATAAAAGGAAGAACCTGCACACTATATTCAAAGTACCATAATGCTGTCAGCACAGTAGGAGTTACACCTATTCTCCCACCTTTGAAAAGAGAGGGATAGTTGCAGTAATAAAAAGTTATGTTCAATTAAAAAAAATAGCAAACAGGTTTTTGTATTTCCATTTAAGTCTAAGAACCATATTTTTAAGAATATTATATTATTAGTCAACTTAATTGTTTTGATGTTAACTGGGCATTCTCTTAAATCATATGTGATGTCAAAATGAGAACAGTAACAAGTGAAACTTGTTAAAGTAAAACTTGCAACCAAATAGAGTATTTTTTATTGCTGAGGAAGTGATTGCTGGTTGACAGCACTGGGGTTTTGCTTTTTGTTTTTGCATGAAAATCACCGCCTCAGGTTTAGAAACTCAAAGCTTTGAGTTTATTATTAGTGATTTAGTGGGATAAAAACTGAATACTTTCAACTCATGGACCGCAAGTTATTACATATTAAAACTTTGACCTGCTGTATTCAGTCATACTTCAACCAATATAGAATAGGATAGAAAAGAAAATCCATTTATTGTCCCACAATGGGGAAATTGTGGTGTTATACAAGCAAAAGGTTATAGCAGAATGTGCACTTTAGAAAAGTGTATACAAATAACAGTTAAGAAAATGAGAAAAACCTAACCAACAAGTAACAAACAAATTTCAGTTGTTTAGACAGGATTTGTTAATCTCATACAATTTAACCATTGATGATCATCACATTTACAAACAAAAATGGGCTTGTTTAAAATGAAAATAAAATGAACATAACATTTAAAGGGTGGAAACCTAATTACAAACTTGTAGGAATAGATTTATAACACTCTTACTTTTTATTTATTTATTTTAATGGGGGACAAACCAGGTTAGAAAAATGTATCTAAATAATGACCAATTACATTTGGATCATTTATTTAACAGAACAACAATGTCAATTTTGACACAAATTGCATTAGGTGCTAACTTATTTTTTCTATATCAAGGGAAATAGGCCTATCATTTCCTTTTTAAGTGTTGGGGGGGATTCAAACAGATCTGCAACAGATTATTGTAAAAATATTTGCCTTACATCACCTACTGAGTGCAGAGCAGGGAGCTGGCACTTCAGTCTGTCAGGCGCCCACTCCTATTGGGTCTAGCGTTGGATGGGAGGACTGAATAAATAGCGAGTGAGATGCGGATCTGAATGACATGAGATGTGGAGCAGCAGCAGCAGCAGCAGCAGCAGAGAGAGTAGCAGACAGAAAGCATAGAAGCTGCTCCTTAGTCACCGCAGATCAGCGCTAAAACAGCCAGTCGGTCCTTTTAACTGATCCTTTGATCTCAGTGCTCGCGCGCGCTCCTCACTGCTTTGATCCAAGTTCTGTCGGGGAAAGCTCACCCCTCTGCTGTTAACAGGTTGGACATCTATTTAGAAAAGAAACAAATAAATAAGGAACTACAGATTATTTTTTTTATTTTTTTTATTTTGCGCGTCTTATCTAAAATCGCTAGAAAGATGATGATGATCATCGCGGAGTTCTTCGTGGTTATTTTAAAGGTGCTTTGGTCGTTTGTGACAGCCGGGGCCAGGTGGGTCGTGCAACCCAAGGAGAAGAGCGTGGCGGGACAGGTGTGCGTGATCACCGGGGCCGGCAGCGGCCTCGGGCGGCTGTTTGCCAAGGAGTTCGCCCGGAGACGCGCAGTCCTCGTCCTGTGGGACATAAACAGCCAGAGCAACGAGGAAACAGCGGAGATGGTGCGAGAGATATACCGAGAAACGGAGACTCCCGCCGCCACAGACGGTAAGTCAGCCTGGAGGACTTTAGATCTCACTCTGTCTAGGAAAAAAACACACACCAACCTGCTTTGTTTGAAAGCACAAAGCATGAAAATTAATATTATTCTATTAAATTATCTTATTTGTGCAGCAGCTTTATCCAGAGTTGCACTGATTGAGCAGATTGATCGGAATCAGCCAATTTTTCAATGATTGGCACTGATAATCCAACAGCATGATCAATAACAGGAAATCACATATTCTGATGGCTACAGTTTTATGATACAGTTTTTTATTTGTACCCTATGTGAGGATTCCAAGTGTTTTAAAATAAAAAAAGATAAATATCTGAAAAAAGCCTTGATATCAAAGTCTTAATCCTAATCTATTTTTATTTATTTATTTATAACATGCTGAAAACCTGTAATTCTGTAAAATCCTAAATTATTTGAAACAGTTTAGGGGGGAGGTCAAATAAAAATCTTAGAAAGATTAAAGATCTGCAGCATTTGTTTGATATAAAAGAAAAAAAGTGTATTTCTAAGTGATATTTTTCAACAGGTTGCATGTGAAAACAAGAAAACTTTGGTCTTTTTCCTTTCACACAGTTGACTCTGACAGCCCCACTCATCTAGATTCTATTCTTCCTTCTTCAGGGCCTGTTGGAGGAGTGGAGGAGGTCCCTGCTTTTAAGCCTCAGGTCTACACCTATGTGTGTGATGTGGGAAAGCGTGAGAGTGTGTATTCCACTGCGGAGAAGGTGCGGCGAGAGGTCGGCGAGGTGGACATACTGATCAACAATGCCGGCGTGGTTTCAGGCCACCACCTGCTGGAGTGCCCTGATGAGCTGATTGAGCGCACCATGGTGGTCAACTGTCACGCACACTTCTGGGTACGTTTATTCAACTTCTTCTTTCTTTGCTTTGTGGTTGTACTATATTGAAGCATGTGAAAAAGTAGCATTTTCACAAGCAATGTGATGCCATTATTTTCCACTCCACCTCCCACGCCTCCTTCATATCTTATCCCACCTCCTGATCTCCCAGTCAAAATACAAAGATGTTTCTGAATCCCTCACTGAGAGGGAAAGTGAAAGTATGTGACCAAAAATAGGCATCTTTGATGTTCACTCCTCAGCTAAAGGTCTGCCACAGGAAAGTCACAAGGTTTTTCTTTAATGAAACTTCCCCTGTTCTCTGCTGATATTGTGGTATGGAAACCCTTCCTTTATCCTTGTGTGGTGAGATAGGGCTCTGTGAAAGCCTCATTTCAGTGCAGCACTTTTTAGTGGTAGGTGGTGATTTTATGGGGATCTGTATCATATTTTCTTTTGGCTCCTCTCCCAGGGTTCTTCCTCTGCCTTCTTATCTCCAAAGGAACATGTTTTGCACTTAAATATTTAGTTGAAATAAATATGAGCTGTAGTGTAGGGGAAAATAAATATAGTGTGCCATATGGAGGGTCAAAAGTGCCAGAGTAAATATGTAAATACAATAATCATTTCTTGATGTCAGATATACAAATATATATAAAACACTACTATATATATTCTACTACTATACTACTATAAATATACACATATACATATATATGTTCATATATGTATGTTTTTTAATATTTTTTTCCCCATATTTTTAAGTAAAAATGTAATTATGAATTTATCATATTCTATACACTTTTATGGAGTGCCAGTCAATGGAATGTTATGGATAAGTAAAAGGTAAATGTCATATAGCATCTTTTGAATTGGGAGGAATCCAGAGGGATTTACAAACATTCAGTGATTCATACAGTCAAACACTGATGGTGGCACGCTACATTGTAGCCACAGCTGCCCTGGGACACACTGACAGAAATGAGGCTGCCGTACACAGGTGCCACCGGACAATCTGACCACCATCATAGATGATTAGTCTCAAAATGAATGATTGTATATTTATCCAATCAGACTTTAAGATGTATTTAATGAGACAGTTTAGTAATAGTTAGTAACCATTTCAAGAATTTTAGAAAATAATTATTTGATTTTTTTCACATATAATGATTTAATTATGCATCAAATTAAACAATTAAAATGAATTATGGCACGTTTGACCTTCTGTAGTTGCATTCTCTCACTGTGATAAAAAAAAAAAAGATGCGTCCTTAGGCTCTGTGAAAGACGCTGAAAGATGGGACACTGGAATGAAAATGTATTTTATCACTTAGCAGTGGGCTCTGTTCAGCAGCTGTCATGCCTGTGCATAATTAAATGTCGCTCTATATATTTATTTAATCTGTTTTCCAGTTTTTTTTTTCCTGCATAGTAATGGTCCTCACACCTAGTAGTAGCCTTGTTGTAGTAATTGTCACATTATGTTTAAAAACCACTGGTTTTTCTTTTCTGTGGCTGCAGGTTGCTTTTAAATGGAGATATATCCTCAGTGATGCCATGAAACCTCACTGATTTGAAGCTCCATAATTGGGCATGAAAATCTTTTGTGTTGTCAAACATGTTGCGTATTTCCTTCCTAATTGTTTCTTCATTCGTTCTCCTCTCTGCTGGCTCTCCTCGTGTTCTTTTACATCCAGGATTTGGAGTCACTATCCAGTGGTTGGGTGGCAGATTTGGGGATTCTTAATAGAAAGCTGTGTTTGTGTATCTCCAGTATTCTATGGAGAGTGTGGTTTCTTTAGAGGTGGGGTGGAGACGAGCGAGGGAGGAGGGAGGAGGAGAGGAGGTAGATGAAAGAAGGATTTAATGAATGGCGACAGCCAGAATGGAGGATGTGGTTCATTAACGACACAAGCTAGATGAATAGAGCTTAGACTAACAGAGACCTGACCACTATCCTCTCACAAACACTGTTGCTCACTGCATGCAGGTGGTACCTTTTTGTCCTATATATATATATATATATATATATATACATACTTATTCCCCCTATTTAAAGCCCAGTTTACAAGAGCACCTGCAACAATTTGAGATTAGCTTAGAATACCATAATATAGTCAGTTCTTTGGAAATAACATACTTACATCCAGATGTTTGAGCATTTACAATCTTTTCGGGGTTGTTTAAAAACAATTGAATTCATATGTATTCCCAGATGCAGCTGTTTTTTTTGTTTTTTTTAAGCTGATTGCTAGAGTCAACAGCCTATACTTAGTCCCAAAACACAAAGCAGACCATCTAATGCTAGAATACAAATTACACTGATAATTAAGAAGGTTGTGTTTAAGTACAATGGTGGACTGCTTTTAGAATATTATAGCACCATTAGGAGGTATTCATAGAAATTATCTTCCAACAATCAGGCACAGAAATAAGAAATAACGCATTTTTCAGAACAGACTTCTATCAGGAGCAGGGAGAAGATATTAAAAGACTCGTGATTTGGAGCATTTTATTAAATGATCATACAGGACCATCCTTAATTAAGGCTTTTAATTCCTATAAAACCGATAGCAGTATGGAAAGTCATCCTTGCAGAACATCTATAAGCATAAACAAAAAAAGCTAAACTGGTTTCTCTCAGAGGTCTGATACTGTTTCAAAAAAGTAAAAAAAAAAAAGAAAGTTTTCCTCATATTTTATCAGCATAACGAAAGAAGAAAAAAGTCAGTTGTAACAACAGTTTCTGATTTGTACAAGTTTTGGACTCTGCATCGGGAGTGAGGCAATGACTGAGACTGCAGCAGGAAACGCAGGGTAATCGTAGTGTGGTTGTCTGCCAAAGCAGCCGAACCCAGACCCCACACTCCATCTCTCCTCCTTCCATGGGGCCTCTCTGACTCCTCCCAACCCAAGGGATTTGGAGGCAGTGGGTGCAGCTGGAAGGGAGTCACCAAGGCCAGCTTCATTTATCTGGCTCTGCCACACACACACATCATAATTCAGTCGCTTTCTTCTCTTAAGATTTTTCTTTTTACTAAGAGGGAGCATGACTCGCTCTGATGTTTTCATTAGTCCACCTGAACGTTTGTGATGTTTCCCACTTCTGAGTCATGTTGGCATATGGGATGCACAGTCATTTTGCGAGGGACATCAGAGCCGTTTCTGTTTGAAGATTCACAGCTATGTTGTGGAATGACATGAAAGCAAATCAGCCTCAGCATCTTGAGCCGGTTATCGAACAGGTGGTTTGGTAAATGATTAACATTTGTTTCTCCTTCCCCGCCACGGAGATCCTTGTTCTCTTGTGCTAATGCATGACATGGCGGGAAAAGAACGCAGTGCCATCCCATGCATAAGCTAGGCAAGAGGGTAATGGTAAGCTGCTGCTGACCCACTTTATCTGACAATTGGTTTCTTGTCTGTGGATCAGCTTGACAAGATGCCAGGCGACAGGAGCCAAGTTCCGCAGGCAGCGTTCCGTCTTTAGACATAGAAAAGAGGCAGCCAGGCAGAATGGTCCTACTTGACTAGTTTTATAAGGGCCCCTCCTCCGGCCTAATGCACCTGTACTCCTTCATGAGAATGCTTATCACTCCTCCCCTTCCTATGTACCTGTTCATGCCCCATCAATCTTTCTCTTTAATGAAATTTCTGATGATACTAGAAAATGTGGAATGGCTCTAAGTCATTCAAGTGAGAACCAAAAAACATTCTGCCTCTTTTCTTTACTTTGCAAAAGGACTTAATATTTAATTTATAGCTCAATAACTAATCATGGGAAAGATCATATATATTAAATAGTTGGATGTTTCTGATGAAACAGTGGGTTTAAAGGTGCAGTGAAGCATTTACATTACGATTTAAACCTTAGAAATTACTCCTTTTGGTTGATCTCATCATCACCTCCTTTATTTAAGCCCTGTTTTTAAAATAACATCACAGGTCTCCAATTCACTGACAAAAAAGGATAAAAAAAAAATTGTAACTGACACAAAAAAGTAGTTACAAACCTCTAGACCAGACTTAGATTTTTTTTTACCAGGGCTTTATATTTATCTGTTGGTTGTAAAAATAGCTGGACACATTCAGATTGACATTTGTTCCTGGCATTAAAGGCTGAACCCAAATGTTTTCTTTGTGTTTTCTTTCAGTTAAGTTCTGACTCTTGGAAACACCATTTCAATTTTCCTGAAAGTAGGAAAATCCCAATTATCAGTCAGTTTAAAAACAGAGTTAGCCAATGCATTTGTAGTCAATCTATTTCTATATTCAGTAGCAGCAAGCAATACGTATTTCTACGAGATAATGCTAATAAGAACTTCAGCCCTTTTACAAGATAATAATAAACTACTTTAATGACAGATTAATAATTAAAGAAATCTTAGATATTTAAAATTAAACATATTTTTGTAACCATATTTTCATAAAACCCTTATGTAATGCCCACCTCAGCTTTCAACCTTGGTAAAAACTTATCTCAGCTTTTAATAAAGTAATTACTGTAACAGCTGTTTTTGTATGAGCTTCTGTCAGGCATGTTGGATGTATTCAAACACATTGAAAGAGTAGGAGCAGAGCAGTAAATTATAGTGTCCTCAGCAGAGAATAGTTTGAAATGCTTTGTCTTATGTTATTTATATGAATAAATTAATAATGGGCTGAGAGCTAAACTTTGTGAAATCCATTTATGGATTTACAATACTCTGCATTAAAAAGTGCATTCTGGTTCTGATTAAAGCTATAAGTCTGGTAAAGCAATATAAACATAGCGCCGCTTGTATAGGGTAGAAGAAAGTACTGGAAAACAGGCCCAAATCTATCATCTACAATCAAAGGTGGCAGCAGCACAGCTGATACCTCAATCCAGGATGGTGTCACAGCCAAACCAGAGCAGACCATATGATAATGATGATGAAAAAAATAGTGCATAACAGTTGAACTAATAAATACTGCAGAATTAGAGAGGGCAGATCAAATGAATCAGAAAGATGTAAAGTGGTCCCTCTGTCTTCCAGCAGCTTAAGCCTATAGTAGCATAGAGATAGCTGAGGATAACCTGAACCAATCTAACTATAAGCTTTATCAAAAAGGAAAGTTTTAATCCTAGCTTTAAAAGTAGACAGGGTGTCTGCCTCACGGACCAAAACTGGTAGTTGGTTCCACAGATAACTAAAAGATCTGCCTCCCATTCTACTTTTAGAAATTCTAGGAACCACCAATAAACCTGCACATTGAGAGCGAAGTGCTCTGTTAGGAACATAAGAAACAATCAGATCTCTGATATAAGAGGGAGTTTGACCATTTAAGGCTTTATAAGTGAGAAGGAGGATTTTAAATTCTATTCTGGATTTAACAGGAAGTCAATAAAGATATTCTAAGATAGGAGAGATTTCTCTTTTTAATTCTCATCTGGAAAATTAAAGCTGGATTAGCTGAAGGTTTTTAGCTACATCGTGTGGACTTCCTGATAGTAGAGAATTACAATAGTCCAACCCTGACATAACAAATGCATTTACTAGTTTCTTACTATCACCCCTCGATCAACATATTATATTTAATTCTTGCAATACTATGGAGATGAAAGAAGGACATTATAGAAACCTCTTTGATATCTGATTTAAATGAAAGGTCCTGATCAAACATAGCACCAAGGTTTTTATTTATTTTTTGATTATTAAAAAAATGCAGATAAGGTTACTGACTAATAAGCTTCGTTTTCAAATACTCTAGTAGTCTTAAATCTATATAGCGGGTTGGTGATTTATGGACAAATACAACTAAGTATCATCAGCATAACAGTGATAATGAATCCCATGCTGTCTAATAATTCTACCAGCTGGGAGCATAGTAAAGAGAATTGGTCCTAGCACTGATCCCTGTGGTACTCCAGGTAACCCTGGTTCTTGAGGAAACATTTATCATTAAACTGAGCAAACTAAAATCTGTCAAACAAATAAGGTTTAAAACAGTCTATTGCTGTTCCTGTAATACCTGCAGAATGTTCAAGCCTTTCTGAAAAAATATTATGACCGATGGTATCAAATGCAGCATTTTCATCTAAAAGCACAAGTACAGATACAATGCCATTATCTGAGGCGATGAGAATGTCATTTGGGACTTTCAGCAGAGCGTTCTCAGTGCTGAACTTAATTGTTCCTATATATTGGTTCCTGGTTGTACAACTTGTTTCTGTAAGAGTTATGAAAAAGCAACAATTGCTGGCTAGTTAACTTGGTCCATCTACCTGGAGCAGCCTTCATCAATCATGCATTATGATCACTAAAATTAACTCAGCCCATTCTGCTTCCTCATTCAGTCAAACTCCGGTACTCAGAAAGTTTTTTGCTCCCTCTCCTTCATTCACTCATCCAAGGAAAAGTCAACCCAATTAAATGGCCATCTGGTCCAAAGCAAAGGCCAAAATTTCGTTCATATTCCTGTTGGTCAGGCGCTAGCACTAATGCAGCCTGACACCCCAGCTGCAAGAAGCTTTGTGTGGCTTAAATGCTCCGGGGGGCACTCACCAATTAGGAGGGGGTGCAGCGGGCTGGGCACCCCCACTTGGGCCAAGGAGGCCCGCTTGTGTCAACGGGTAATTTAGCGGAACAAGAGAGCGTTGAGACCCAATTACGGCGGCTCTGATGTAAGACACGAGACTCTGGTTGCCTTCACACATTTTGTGTCTGAGAGGTCAGTGGGGGTCATACCCACATGCCAGAGCTGCCATGAGAAGCAGGACATCCCGGCAGGGTGGGAGAGAGATGGGATGGTTGGTCACACTCAGGGTCATCCTCAGCTTGAGGGAAAAATCTTTCCTATATCAGTTCCAGGTTATAAGACCACTCAGCAAATCTGTCCAGCTGAAATCCAATAACTGGCTTGGACTGTAAAGAATTGTGCCAGATCAAGTCATTCTCTGCTGTCAAGAAGTTGCTTTGGGAGTGGGAAATTTTGGCTCAAGTCAGGTACGGGCATATCTTGAGGTAATTCTTCATTTGCACGCAACTCTCTCCCTCTGTTGCCATTCTGGCTCATAGAGACTCCGCTCAGCATTTGCCCAGGCCTAGCATTCTCATTGCTACCTCTCTTTGGGCCCCATCACTTGATGAGTTGAATATTGCACCAACCCTAAAATTTATGTTCTGGAAAACTGCAGATGTCTGGATCCATTTCAGATCAGTTATACCTGACTAAAAATGAACTCCAACAATGAAGTCATTTCTGTTTCTTACAACAGCCTCTCTGTTTAGTTTTAACCTCACTAAACAAGCAGAAAGGCATCTACAACACAAAAGCTAATCTCGGTGTGCAGTTTTAATGAGCCTTTTTCCTCTCTGCTCTGGCGGTTCCATGGCTGTGCTACCAGGTACCAAGCTCTCGCTGGCCCTGTGCTCCCCTTCTGTAAATGTTTATGAAGAAGGATGGATAATTTATCTGGCAAGGAGTTCAGATAATAAAACCCTTGCCTTTAGTTTATTTTAACACACATTATTTAAAAACAAGTAATTAAAAAATTATATAATTTTCAAAAGATACTAAAACAACCTATTTTTTTGGACATGGAGAAAAAAAGAGAATTCAAATATTTTTAGGGTTCTTAAGCTGCCTGAAAAAACTTTGTGAGGGAAGAAACAGAATGAAACATCCCTTTAGTTTAAAATTTTATAAGCAGCACCGTTGTTATTGTATATTAATAATATATTAAGAAACTTAATTTTTTCTGCCCTCTTTTATTCTACCATTCCTTCCTTACTTTGCTCTTTTATTCATTGTTTTCAATCCTTTCTATCTTTAATCAGTCTTTTTTCATCCTATCAGACTAGTTCTTTACTTTAGTTCCTTTTTTTTTTACAAACCTGTTTTTGCAGTTTCTGCATCTAAAGCCTGACATCTGTCAAAAAAAAAAATCAAGAGTGAAGTCAAATTAAAATTCTGTACTTAAAAATAAATCGCAAAAAAAAAAAAAGCTTGTATGAAAATCATTTTGACATGTAAATAATCCAAGAACCATGTCTCCCTCTCTATATATAAAACATTACAGTATGGATAGCACATGTTGCTGCTGAGAACAGAAGGTTGAGTTGCCAAGATGCTCGCGGTTTTTACTTCATCACCTCAGTAACTTTCTGTATCCCTGAAGGTTTCATGTATTCTTCACCTTCGTAGCACATATGTCACCTAAATTATTAGCTGAGCGACCAACAAAAGGCCTGCTGGGTCTTTGCAGACGTCCCAGTGGGAGAGTGATTGGTCAGTTCCTGTCACTGCCATTATGTGTCACACCTGCTGATTGGCTCATGCTGTGTGCAGATGAGCTCTAAAGTCAGGAGCAGACAGGCAGAGTCAGCTGTACCGTAGGCGTCTAACCCTCATCAGAGCAGCCGGTGGAACTAGTCTGTCTCTCACGTGGCGTTGTGGTTTTTAAACCCTTTCATCTCTGAGCTGGACTGGCTCATCTGAGGAACTTTTCAGTCGCTCTGGTGGGGGCGATGAGGCCGTGTAGGTAGAAAAGAGGCTGCACTGCTACAGGTGATGAGTGAGTGGAGGCCTGCGACTGGTGTTGTCACCAAGTCTTTAGTGCAAGGCTCAACGAAAGGCACCAGATCTGTGTGGGAAAAGAAGCGACTTTGCTGAAACGCTTCCATCACTCCCTTTAACAACGTCCTCCTTCTCTTTTACATTGGATTTATAAGGGATAGAAGTTTTTAAATCTTGAAATGTTGTACCTCCCCCTCTCTCTGTTATGAATTGTCATTCTGACTTTTCTTTCTGAATCTCCATGGAGAAGCGATAGAAACTGAAGGGGGGGGTGAAGGATCAAAGAGCATTGGCACAGACGAACTGCACAAGTGAACTAACCTTCTTCTTTTTTCCCCCCTTGCCCTTCTGTCTCCTCTGTCCTTCCCCCAGACCACCAAGGCGTTTCTCCCCAAGATGCTGGAGCTGAATCACGGTCACATTGTGACTGTTGCCAGCTCCCTCGGTTTATTCAGCACAGCTGGAGTTGAGGTTAGTATCATACACAGAAACACACACACAGCCGAGTTGTTCCCACCATCCGCGAGCGGTGCTTTTCTCCTCCATGGCACGGCGTGCCAGCTAGCACGCTGAGAGCGAGGAGGTTAGGCCCCCTTTCTCTGGTTGTTCCCCCACCCGTTAAATTAAGCAACACAGATGAGCATTCGGTAGTCTCGTATAGATTCCTCTATCTGTAGCAGCGGGGGTTTGGGGGGCCCCTCAGTGGGCACTGGCCCTGGGGCCAGAATTAGCTGACAGCTCCCTGAGGGACAGAGACATCTTCATCACTGCTTTGTGAAAAACTTGCTCCTCATTCAATATTCAGCTCACAACTGTTTCCAATTGATATGCTTTTCCTTCCTATAGTTTTTTTTTTGTTCTATTTCATGATAGAATATTTAAAGGGGGGGTATTTATCTCCACAACCAGAGAGAGCAAAACAGGACCCCCCTCAAATATTTAGGGTATTCTTATTTATTCTATTAGCAACTGTTTCTTGAAGAATGCATTCTTTGTAGAAAGTTTGCATGAATTCAGATCTGCAAGTAATTTTTTTGGAAATCTACAACAATGTTTTTCCTGTCTTTATTGTTACACGTGTGTTTAAAGAGGCTGCTTCATTTTTCTTTTTTTTTTTTTTATACTTAAGATTATTTCCACAGCGAACCACATCAAAACCTTGCTGCCCAGCAGAGCAGCATACTAATGGCTTAGAGAAGAATGCTAATGAAACCCTAGGAAAGCAGTTAGGTTCCCTCAGGTTTTCTTTGTGGCTGTATCATTACCAGCTAGGAGAAACCCCTGAGCCCATTGGGGCAGGTTTGATAATGTTTTCTGCTCTCTTTTTGTTTTATTCTTTTCAGGATTACTGTGCCAGCAAGTTCGGTGCCATCGGGTTTCATGAGTCCCTGAGCCATGAGATTAAAGCCTCGGAGAAGGACGGCATCAACATGACCCTGGTGTGCCCTTACCTAGTCAACACGGGAATGTTCAAAGGTTGCAGGATAAGGTGAGCCTCGACAGTCTGCCAGTCTAACTGCTTCGGTTTCTCTGTTTTTCTTTTTTCTTCCACCTGCGAAGAGTTTTTTTTAAACAGCTTTCAAAGCAGATGTTGATGGTTTGTTGGTAGAATTACGGTACAGTGATTTCAGTTTCATAAGTCAACAGTTTGTATAAACAAGGAGGGCTGCCTTTTGTTACCCAGGTGCACCTGGTCTACACCACTACCTCCATCCCTCCACACTAACTGCCTCTTGTTATGGTCTTCACTTTGGTTTAGGGTTATTGTGTGCAGGTGGCCTTACTGTCAACCCCCCTGTCCCCACCCCACCCTTCCCACCAACTCTTAAGGCCTAATCAGTGGTAATACATAAAAAAAAAAAAAACATTGCAAAGCTTCCGCAAGCACAAAACACACTTTACATATTTCCATTTGCCTTAGTGAGGATTTCATGTGAAAGACCAACATAAGTAACATATTATTTTGAAATAGAAGGAAAATCATACTAAATGGATTCAGATTCAGTCTCTGTTATTTTAATACCTCAAAAGTGAAGCAAAACTTATCCACAAATGTACCCAAGAAAAACAGAGCCATTAGCCCAGGTGGAAAAGTAATTCCTACATAATTCTGTCTTTTATTGAAAAAAGCCAAAAGATTTAAAGACATTCGGAATAATCTGTCCTGATCAGATGAGACAAAAGTGAGTAAAAAAACCACTGCAAATCCCCCCTCTGTACACACCATCACCACCAGCATGGTGCTGCTGGGTCGCTTTTCTTCAGCAGTGACAAAAACGCTGTTCTGCATGGCTAGAAGAGCCTCAGCAAAAAGGCTGAGGCTTCTCTGATTGAGGATTTGATCTGAAAATGGTTGTTCACACAATTTAGAAAGCTTGTAGTCGTAACATAAGGAGTTTTTACATGTATAAAGGCTTTGCATATTAATGATCAAACTTCTTATTCGAACCAGGAAGGAGATCGAGCCTTTTCTGCCTCCCCTGTCGCCGGAGTTCTGTGTGAAGCAAGCCATGAGAGCCATCCTTACGGATCAGCCGATGGTCTGCACGCCTCGCATCATCTACATGGTTAACTTTATGAAAAGGTAGGATTCCTCCTCCATTAGCTCTCAGTGTAACGCTTTTGGGTAGCTCCTCTTTTAATCCCGTCTTCGTCCCATCTCTGCAGCATCCTGCCCTTCGAAGCCATCGTGTGCATGTACAGGTTCCTCGGAGCCGATAAGTGCATGTACCCCTTCCTAGCTCAGAGGAAGGAGGCGATGAACAACAATGAAGCAAAGAACGGGATCTAGGGGTCCAGCGTTTACAGCATTTATACCTGCAAGCATTTGGAAACAACCACTGAAGATAAAAGATGGGGGAGGGTGAAAAGAAGAAAAAGACTGAATCTAGACTGGTGCACTTGCATTGAGCAAATGCAAAGATATACCATATTGTTCCTCTGGAACAAAAAAGCTGCGTACTACACAAAGGATATATTTGATTTTTTTTTGCCTAGAAATCAACATCTATATACCTTCACTAGTTTTGAAATCATACAAAAAAGGTATCCAGTAATTAACTATTTACATAATGTAGTCACCAGCCTTATCTAGTGTCATTGTGGAAATATACAGTATGTTACTGTAAAAAAAAAAAAACAGTAATCTTTTTTTCACTTATTTTATTTTTGTAGACATGCACTGTAATTTCTAATTTTTATAATGAAAATTCAGATTTGCTTCCCTCCCCCCACTGTCAGTGATATTTGTATAGACTTAACTCAATGTTTCGAACTAAGCCAAGATTTTCTCATGCAGAGGCTCTTTTCCAGTCCAGTTTACCTTCTTTGCTGCGATTCATAATGGCGTGCCATTTTTTAAAATCAAGCGATCACCATGTTTCTTCCTTTTTTTTTTTTTTTATTTGCTTAGAGACATAATTTTAGTCACAGTTTGAGTTTTGAAATGCATTCCAAATGGGACTCAGTGGCCAAGTTGTTGACGACCTTTTTTGGCTACGTTCACACTGCAGACCTTAATGCTCAATCCCGATTTTTTTCGTGAAATCCGACTTTTTTTTTGCGTTGCTGTTCACATTTCCAAATATATGTGACTTGTATGTGATTTCCTCTGTGAACTGCATTCTTATAACGTAAGTGTGCAATAGAGGACGCAATAATGTCACAAGCAAGTCGTGCTGGAGCGCATTTACCGACCTTTCTCAACCTTAAAAACTCAATCTTTTCAATATGGTTTAAGAAAAAGACTGCTCTCCACATTATCGTCGTCCATGGTTGTCGTTTTTCGTTCTGCTTCTGCATAGAAAGACGCAGAATTGTGATCTTTGTTGAGTATTAATGACGTTCAGGTCGGATGAATGCGACCTGGCTGTTTAGACACAAGTTGCATTTAAAAATATCAGATTCGTATCGGATTCAGGACCACATATGCAAGTGGCATTGGAAAAGATCGGATCTGTGTTGTTCAGACAGCCAATAAAAGATCAGATAAAGGTCGCATGTGGGCAAAAAAAAATCGGATTTGGGTAACTTCAGGCTGCTGTGTAAATGTAGCCTTTGACGCGGTCATTGCTTTGATGAATCTCTCATTTGGAAAGTGGACAACAAATTCGCTTGTGGGAGGAATCGGCATGCGGCTGAAAGCAGAATGTATCGTTTGAACAGAAATCCAGAGAGCAGGCCTTCATGATTTTTTTTCTACTCATTCGTGTCCATTTTTCTAGATGTTGTTCATATTGTAAATTTATATTTTGAACAATATTACTAAAATAATAATTCCAGTTGAATAAAAAATGTATAAATTGACATTGTTTTGACCAGTTAAAGTGAACTGTATGTTTAAATGTTGTTAACCTTTGCCCAGATGGGCATTCCCACCACATTTGATGTATAAATATTTTATATACTTTAAATATATTTTTTTGTTCTGAATGTTAAATACAATACATTCCAACAGGCATCATTCCCTCAGTCACAGTGATGAGCCTAAATTCTCTACCTCTTCCTTTTTGCCTGTTTATTTTATTTGACAGTATAACATAAGCCGTTTTTTTTTTTTATGTTCTAAGAAAAAAAAAAAGCTCCATAGCAGAGCAAATGTGGTTCCAATGTTTAGTGTCTCTACCTAACTTAAATTAATAAAGTGATTTAGATTATTATCAGTGTGTTGTGTTGCTTGTAAAGAAATCTTTAGAAAAAAGCATTCTTAATATACATCCATTTCTTTTAGTGCGATTTGTCATTATGGAGCTGAAACAAAAATGTTACTCAGCAGCAGGTAAGGTGTCTATGACACCTCTGTTGGTTATTCTCGCAGAGAGAGAAACAAGAAACGGGATCCTCCAAATGACTGAAACCGCGATGGAGCAGTTTTCATTGTCACACCAACTCCCTCCCAGCCCTTTTCTTCTATCTGCAACTTCTCTTATGACTGGTATCAGTGTCACTGTTCTCCCACATTGTACCACCCACTGAGTCAGACAGCATTTAGATATGGGTGTTGGCTTTAGAGGGTTATAGCTGCAGCTATTGTAGCACGTTTTTTTATTCTACGATTTCATTTATAACAGCAGCGATTCTGCGGTAAGCTGCCATCAGTATCTGGTTAACTTATGTTTACAAAGGAAAGGATGTGGCTGGTTGGACCCTAGCATGGACTGAACATGGTTTCTCCAATCTGTTGTCTAATTTTGTTGAGCCTGGATGAAATAAAGCTTTCACCAGAAAAACTATGAACTACTTGGCATAGTTTTATCTAAACTCTCAGATTCTATTCTATATTTTTACAAACAACTTAAAGTGGACATTTTTTTGTTGTTCTCTTTTTATTTTAGTTTACACATAAAAAAAATAAACCTAAAAGCTATTAGATTACCCTTTATGTTCTCATCAGTGGTGGAAGGATTACTCCTAAGTAGTACTTAAAGGTATAGTGGAGGATTTTTTGCGAATGTTTGAAAAGACCCGCCCTCTCCACTTTAAAAAAAAACCCAGTACCAGCTTCATTGAGGGAATGCCTATTAAACGTGTGTGAGAGTGTGCATACGTCCATTTCTCCTCGTGCACGCTCTGTTAAAAAGTTGCTGTTTGCATCACTCATACAAGCTTACTTTCCAAAAGAACATTTGCAATTTTTCCACTATGTCAGACTCACCACCGGTAAGTAAAAATGGGGACGAGCACATAGGATGGCCTTAAGATATCACCAGAATGATTGACAATTAGGAGGACCATTAATTTTGATGATCCACCTGCAAAAACATCCTCCACTGTACCTTTAGGTAAAAGTATTGATAGTAATAGTCAAATCTTACTCAACTACAAGTAAAAGTTACTTGGTCAATCATCTGTGGAAGTTAAAATATTGAAGTACTCACTTTTGAAAATACTTAAGTATTCAATAGTACTAATAAAATCTTCTAATATCAGCACATTTCTGTGTAATTTTAAAGAACCTTTTAACTTCCTCAGGGCCGTCTCTCCTCCTCCCTTGGATTAGGGTCGGATTTCCTGGGTTGGCCCCTTCTTGTCACCTTTGCTCCTGGGGTCCCTTTGGGCGTCTGGGGGTTTGGGTCTCCCGGTGCTGGCCTCAGTGCTCTGTGGGGGGCCTCTTCGGCTCTTCACAACAACTATTAAGCATTTCTCCTTTGGATAAACTTTACATGCATAAGTGCACTCTCACAAACAACTACAGGTGCTTGGTTCCAGGTACTTAGAGATTCACTTCCATACAGAAAGCCCATATTCTTATCTTCAGGTACCACAGTATACATTTCAGATTAAATAATACTACTTATACTTAAGCAATAGTATCTAGGTGTTACTTTGTTGTATATCCTTTACCATGTCCGTTGGTTGTGCTGTTCCTTTACATCTCTTTGCAGGTGATAAAGCAGACAGAAGTTATCTTTTTTTTTAATCGTTATCTCCCTTTTATCTCGTCTTTCTTTCATGTTTTATCCTTTTTTTCCCCCTGTTTTTCCCCTTCTGTTCTACTTACATTGCAGTGTCCATATACGGTAATCTGTAATACTCCCTGCATGAATGATAATAAAGCTATTTATATGCATAAATCAAGCAGAACACCATGGCGATAGCCGTACTGCTCCACTGGTGAAACTAAAATCTGTTCAGCTCTTTTTTTGGCATCAAGACAAACACATCACTTTGCCAAAAAATAAAAAATAAACTTTTTAGCTTTCAGAAACCCCCTTATATATTATTGTATGAGCATCATATTGATGCATAGAACTACCTGCAATTTCTACACCACCTATAAAGAACTTCAGCATCAAAAGGCCCCAAAAAATGAAGAACAGCAATTTTGATTATTATTTCTGATTTAAAAACAAAGCAAAAACATAACAGGAGTGTCTTGATTCTCCTCTAAGTTTCATTATGAAATAGAGGTTTAATGTTGAATGCATTACCACAAAGAAACAACTCCTCATCCTACAGAACAACTTGCTGCATGACAACCACTAACGCCTTAATAAAATGTATAAACAACAAATAATATCTGCCCTGAATTTATCACATTTGCAGGTTGTCATGCAAATCTCTAAAACAGAGCCCTAGTTTAGTCTAAAGGGCTGCTATCTGCCATGTTGAAATTGCAATTGAAGCAGCTTCTGCTAAATGTGGTGTAGTAGAAAGTACAATATTTGACTTTGAAATGTAGTGAGTGAAATATATAAGTAACCCCCCAAAAACATTACTCAAGAAAATATACTTAAAAAATTACTTAAGTACAATAATCAAGTAACTGTACGTTGTTACTTTCAACCGCTAGTCCTTATGTTGTATATATTACAGTGAAAGAGGGTGATTTTGTTTAATTGCAGCCCTACATTTGCAGATGTAAGACAAGTGAAATATTTATGCCAATTAAAAAAGGCGAAAGAAAAAACATCTGAAACAAATAGTGAGGATAAACATTTCAAACATTGCGACCCACAAAAAGGTTGGCAAAGAATCCCAGTTAACGTGAGAATAGAAATATTCTCTGTTGCCTAACAGCAAACAAAAACACCCATCCATGCCATTACCTCTGTGAAAATGTGTTTCTGTTTGCTTGATAAGCCATCTGGGAGCAGAACAATGAAATTCCAACCATTTCTATTGCAGCTGTTATGTAGTCGACCTTTTACTTCCCTAGAGAAAAACAAGAGGAAAGAATCATTTCCTAATTGGTGTCAGCAAAGATGTCATGAGCTAGTTCTCTACTCACATGCTCAAACTGCTGCGTTTGTTTGCTACAGAGCTGGAGTTGCTTTTCAGGATCGCACGTAAAAGTTAGGTTTTTTTTTTTATTTTATTTTTTTTATTAAAAGCCTTTAAATTAAGACAAACATAACTAATATAAAGTGGGTTTCAGTTTGTATTGAGTGCTGTATGGTTAACGTCTGTCTGAAATCTAAAATACAAAAATAAACACAAATATATTCCTTTAAAAGATTAAGACAAGCATTTTAGAACTTGAAAAAAAAAAAAACTTATGGTGAAATTAACTTTAACAGCCTCATTTGGGTAAAACGGAAAACTCCAACTAACCCGGAAAGGTTTATACAAGCAATATTTGATGAACCCCTGAATGGAAGTTAGCTTTAGAAAATATGTTTGAAAAACAAAAACATGGAAAGTGTTTATTGTCAGGCTAATTTCTTATACACTAAGAAAGAACCAGTTTTTATAGCGCTTTTGGGGTCATTCCTCAGCACGTGTTTTATATTCTGTGTACTCCTAGTAATGTTTTGATTTGGTCGCCAAATTAAATGACAATATTTTAATAACTGATTCATTAGGATGAAAAGTTGAAGCCCTAAAATAAAATGACAAAAACACACAATGCATGATAATTTTTTTTTCTTTTTACACAAAAATATCTTCATGTTGGAATCATTATATATGCAGACTAAACATAATG